TCAAGCTGATGACAAGTAGTGCGATTTATGCCTCAAATTCCTCCAGCACTGTTTCCATCAGTGACGAATTGTTCCCCCAAACAGTGCAGCACAGCTAGGGGAACTGGGGGAGGGTTCGGCGTCAGGCAGGGTCAAACCGGTCTCGGACTTATTTTCACAGGCGATGCCGTTCTCAGGTTTTCACAGAATGGTGAAAACCTTGAACCTTAAAAGGTTCAAGGACAGAGATTATGAGCAAACCTGTTTTAAAAGTCATATTCTTTGCTTCCTCTAAAAAATTAATAGCTACTGGCATTAACATAGCTTTAAACAAAAAGTGAGATGCTGTCCGGCGCCTTTAGATCCTCGCTGGTGTGAGCTGAGGACCAGCAGCAGCTTGGTCCTTGGTACTCACCAGAGACGCAGAATCCTGCACCCTGACACCCATCCACCTGGGCAGTGGATCCCATTTTTCTCCAAACACTTTTCTAGTCTTTTTTTTACTGGTTAGACAAGTTAACAATGGGTTTCCCTTTGGAAGATTCACACACGCAGGTAACATACTTGGATCGTCTTCACCCGCCATCTTCCTTGCCCTGGTCTCCCTGCTCATTTTACTTTCCTCGGAGGGTTTCGATGCATATAACGCGCTCACATCTCCCCCTCCACCACCACCCTCACCCGCTCCTTGTTCCTCTGACTCCCTTGCTCTCGTCTAATAACAGTCTCCCTTCTGCTTTCTCGGCATCTTTTTTAGATCCCACATAACATGTGTTACTTATCTCCCCAAGTCTGGCTGCTGCTTCTGCTCAACGTGATAAGTCTTTAGATCCATCTACTCTCCTGCAAATAACAGAACTGCATTCGTCTTTGTGCCTGACTACAACACTCCACTGTGTCTACGTACCCCGCACTGTCTTCATCCGTTCATCTGTTAACAGGCACCTAGACGGGTTCCGTACCTGGGCTACTGAGAACTGCGCCCCAGTAGATGGTCACACGTGTCCCTGCAGTGTGCTGACTTTAACTGCTCTGCATATATAACATGGAGCTGGATCAGACGGAGGCTCTACTTTTAGTTTCCTGAGGTCTTCCACGATGACTTCCATGGCTGTACTAATTTAGATTCCTCACAGCACTGCAGCAGCAACTCCTTCTCCCCCAAAATTTTTACCAGCACTTACGATTTTTTTATTTTTTTGGTATTCTTGATGACAGTCATTCTGACTAGGGTGAGACGGAAGCTCAGTGTAGTTTCGATTAGCATCTCTCTAAAGCTAACGATGTTACACGTTTCCATGTATGTATGGGCTATTTGTACTTGCTCGATTCATTTGCCCACTGTTTGTCAGGCTATGTGATTATTTTGGTGTTTTAAAAATTTCCTTATATATTCTACATATTAATCTGTCGGAAGAGTAGTTGGTAAAAGTTTTCTCCCATTCTGTAGGCTGTCTCTTTACTCTTACTGGTTTCCCTTGCTATGCAGAAACTTGTAATTTTATATAGTTCTATTCGTTGATTCTTCTTGTTATTTTCTGTGCTATTTGGAGGCCTATTCAGGAAGTCTTTGCCTATGGCTTTGTCTTTCTCCCCCCTCCCTTTTTTTTTTTTTTTTTTGAGATAGGATCTGGACATGTACTTTAGCTTGGCCTTGAACTCACAGAGATACTCCTGCCTCAGTCTCCCAAGTGCTGAGATTATAGGTATGTGCCACCACACCCAGGCCCCTACATTTTCTTTTAGCAATTTCAAAGTTGCATATTTTATATGTGTCTTTCTTTGATGCATTTTTAGTTTATTTTTATACAGGGTGAGAGACAAGGTGCGATTTCAATCTTCCACAAGTACATATCCAGTTTTCCCAGCACAATTTGTTAAGAGGATGTCTCTTCTCCAACACATACTTTTGGTGAAATGTGCTTTTTAAAAAATAAGATCCCTAGATAACTGACCTCCCATTAATGTTATGAGGCAATGGTTTGGAGGAGAAATGTTTAGATTGAGGATGATTTCGGCATTTGAAAGTCCTTAATTCATGCTCACATGCTATGAGGTAACTGAATATTTTCTAAAATCCTTGGATCATAGTTCTATTTGAACACGAATTTGACTAAGGACAGCTAGTTGAATTTTTTAAGAATCCAGATTAATCCTCAATTAAATTTGGTTATCAGAGGCACTAGTTTGGAAGAGTCACAGGCAGTATTTACTATCACATGAATAGATTAGGGACTAAAACGCAAATATATGCAAACTCCTTCACAGAGGAGTTTCTATAACCTCGAGTTCACCATAACCAGTGTCAGCACTGGAAACAGAACACACACATCTACAGATAAGTAAGTCACAGAATCCATAATAAATGGACAGAGTACACATCACTGATGAAAACAAATATAAATCTCCTATAAACATGAAAAGATGCTCACATTCCCTAGAAACAAATGGAAATTCATACAAGTCTGATAAAACTATTTTACAGGGACCAGGAGAGTTAACTCAGGGGTAAAGCTTGTGCTTAGCATGCAGGAAGCCCCAGTTCATCCTCCAACCACAAAAACCCAAACCAAAACAAAACAGTCAGAGCCTGAGACTGTCCAGGGGTAGAAGAGTAAAAGGAAGGAGATATTTTTGGAGACTGGCAATGTAAGTTTAAAACTGTACAATATTTGGGGGAAATAAATAATATAGTAAATAACCCAGTATTTTTATTTGTAGGAATCTTTTCTTACCAAAGTGCTCTTACAGGTACACACAGGGAGGCCCACAACAGCACAGTTTATAGCAGGAATTTCTGAACTGCAGGGAAGGCTGGGGGAGGAGCCCAAGCAGCCAGCATGCGGTTTGACTAAATAAATCACGGTGCCATAAAATAAATATTCTGGGAACTGATTTAAAATTGGTAATCTTTCATCAACTCTATGATGCCACAGATTGTAGAATGCACGCTCATACAAAAGATGTTAAAATGAAAAAACAAAACAAAATACAGCAAAGCCAGGCGTGGTGGCGCGTGCCTGTCATCCCAACACTCGGGAGGCTGAGGCAGGAGGATCGCTGTGAGTTTGAGAGCAGCCTGGGCTACATAGTGAGTTCCAGGGAAGTCTCAACTACATAGTGAGTCCCTGTCTCAAAAAAAACAAAACAAAACAACAACAAAGGCTTGTGGCTATTTTTAGTTGCCATCAATTATCAGCTGACCCCAATTTTGGAGATGTCAAGATACAGAACAAACATGAAGTGTGCTTGAGATGCGTGATACTGATTTCAGTTTTAAATATCGATTCACAGCATCTCAATGCTTACTGTGTAGGAAACATCAAAATCAAACAAAGTGAGCACCTTTAAGGAGAATTCAATTGTGCTGGGGCACGTGGCATGGGACACAACCTCTTAGATTATTTTAATTCTCTCAAAGTATATATTCATTTTGGAAAATTAAGCGGTGAAAATGCTGTATAAGTAAAAGAGCTGAAGTGCTTATTAGAGAACTGTGTGACGGCTCAAACCTCGCTGCGTTTACATTTGTTGTTGTTGTTGTTGTTGTTCCTTTGCATTGAGCTGTATGTATGCCCTGCCCTTCTTTATTTGTTATTCTGAGGCAGGGTCTCACTAAATTGCTCAAGCTGGTCTGGAGCGTGTGATCCTCCTACCTCAGCATCCTACACTGCTAGGATTACAGGTGTGTCCCTCCACAGCCAACTGCACTCACTTCTTTACTGATTTCACTTTTTTCCCTGCAACATTTGCCTCCAAGGTCCAAGACAACAGCAAGGCTGGTGATCAGAGCCTGTCCTTCCTATGTCCTCACAATCCACTGAGACACAGACAGATGTGCCCCCTTCACCCCTGAGCTACAGAGTAGAGCTGTCTTCCCTGGTCATTCAGGGGCTCTGGACCAAGCTGGCTCTGTCCCTCTGGCTCCAAATCCTGTCCTCTTCGATACCGCCCTCCAGCGCTGTATGTATCTGCTTTCTATTCTCCACTGTTCATTTTCCTTTTGTGGTATTTCACACTTTCTTTTTCATGCTCTAGTGGTTTTAAGGGTTTTTCTCCCCCTAAGCCAGAAATCTCATTAAGTAGCTTAAAAGAAATATTCTAACTGCATTAACTGGAAATTAATGCATTTCCTTTAACTTTAACAAGTCAGTTTTACAAAATGATATTCTTTCAACTGCCTTCCCTTAAAATTAGAAGTCACTAAGCTGCTAAGGAGAGAAGCCTTCGGCATATAACCAGGGGTCACCAAATAGTCCAGGCAGGAAGCCTACAGCCAGCACCTTCTTGTCATTCTCCATGTCCAGGAGATGGGAGAGAGAGGGGCCTTGGACTTCCTTTTTTTTTTTTTTTTTTCAATTAACCAATGGTTCAACCCCTGATCTAAAATTTGAGCAGAAAAGAGATCTGTCAATTACATTTCTTATTTTGTACACATATTCCTTATCCAAAATATTTGGGACCAGAAGTATTTCTGACTTCAGATTCTTTCAGAAATTGAGAAATATACATAGACTTTTGTTTTCTGAAGCATTAGCATTCTCTACTCCCCAAATCTAAAATGCTCCAAAATCTCACCTTTTTGGAATGGGGATGCTTGCTTGCTCAGTATCTTTCAAATAGAGACTGACATCTACAATGGACTTCAATCTACAATGATTCTCTATGATCGAGTACTTTTTTACTCTATTTAGAAATTTAGGAATGCAGAAAAAAGTGAAGTATCAGGAAATATAAATCCTAGAGACCTACACCACTGATGGCTGAGTTGTTTCCTCGGGTCATTCACCCGTCTTCAGGGAAAGGGGACGATGGCTTCAGACATCACTAACAGGGTCTGGCTTGGAGGCAAACCAGAAACCACACGTTTACACAATCCTGATCTTCCCTCCCCACACCCCACACCTGTAGTGCAATGAGAGACAAGGAATAAAGACACAGAAGAGAAATGTCAGGCTCCAGAGTCAGTGAGCACAACCTGCGCCACTGGCCTCCCGCAGAAGAACAGGATGCTGGCTCACCTGAGTCCTTCGTGGGGCACAGGGCACACTGCATGCCCCAGGCCTCTCCGTACAAACAGCAGCACTCGGTGTATGTTGTCTGCTTGCCCACAAGAGGACGGCTGCACACATACTCATCACTCAAATGTTCCCAGCACAGATCTTGGTAGACATCGGTTTCTTCTATTTGTTCTAAAAGGGAAAGATGGTTCCGTGACAGTCACACTGCTATTCCTATTTCAACATGGCAGCAGAGGCCAGTGAGTCTCAAAGTTTCCATCCCTATTTCTAAGAGTGACTTCCAAGGAAAAGTCTGAACGCAGCCTGGTCTTTCCAGGACCAGGAAGTATGTCATCCCATCTGGTGAAATTCAACCTGCCTGTCATGTTGCTTCCAACCGTGCCTCTTCCTCCCAAGCTTCCCTGCATTACACAGGAAGGTCTCACGACCTCTCCCGTCCTTGGGGACTTCTAATTCTTACCTTCACTTTTCACCCTGACTTCTCTGTCAGATCCCACCACTGCTTGCTACAGGACATTTCTGGACTCATCCCTATTCCGTCTACCAAAGCCCAAGATGAGTGACACTGCGTCCTAGAGTCCTCGATTCTTTTCTAACCTTTGCACTTTTCAATGGACCTTCACCCAGACAATCTCCTCAGGGTGATTCCGTGCCAGGTGGGGCATCGAGATGAGAGGGATCCAGCCGTGGATTCGGGGCTCTCCTATCTTGGTCAACTGTAGTCTAGGTTCTGTCCAGCCTCATCTATATCTCGCACACTAGTCAGGGACATCCGATCCTCCTGCTCTGAGCTTGCACCTTCCTCCGCTGCTCTGAAGGGCCGGTGCAATGAACCCCGGGCACGGAGAAGCTCTGCCACTTGCTCTGCACCACTCTGCACCCTGCTGTCCACTTCACGAGCACATTTCAGGAGATTCAGTCTCTTTCGTCTTGATCATATGCATCTTATTACTTCTCTTCGTATCTCATTTATTCCAAAATACCCAAGGGACTCTTTTTTCTCCCAGTTTTCAACTGTCCACATTTCAGTCAACAGGAAAGCCCTAGAATGATGATATTTATCTGGACCTAGGTTTGCATCTCACACCCGAACATACCATTTGACTCAGTTGGCCGTATGCATCTTTTTTCTGAAGCATCCAGGACCATTGGGTGGGTGCAGAAGCAGTTGTAAGAGCCTTCTGTATTAACACACTGGCCATCGATACAACTGCTGGGATCTTGACATTCATCCATATCTTAAGAGAAAAAAATTATTAAAGAAAATCAGCGAAGCTAACAGATTCCAGGAGCTGCCCCATTTCAATGATCCTATACATCCTCCAACAGAGGAACAGCTAGGACGCTAAAAAATGTGAGTTATACTAATTGGAAAAACAACACAACCTCTGCCACCGCTGATATTAAATATGGAAAGAAAACATCTATGAACAGGACACACTTAGAAATTTAAGATAAAACGCCTTTTTATGATGCTTTTAAAATTATTTCCTTTCCTGCCTAGTGTATATGGTTTTCTGCTTAAGTAGAAAAGTCTGTGGCAGTGTTTAAAAATGACTTTGACTTGTATGGTATGAGTGATGAATCAGTAGGTTCCACAGACCAAAACTACACTTTAGTTATACCAAACGACCTGAATTGTAATTCCACATTGAATATGAACTCTTTGTTTGAAATTCACTCAAACAGGAGAAGGGGAGCTTTATTTCTTAAATCTTGGTCAAGAAAGATATCCACAAAACATTCACCCATCTCTTCAGCACACAATTTAGAATCAAATTGTTCTTAGTAATAGCATTACTTATTTTTTTCCATCTGTGTATTCTCATAGCACACCATACTAGGCCCTCTTGAAGCTTACCAAAGCACTGCAATTTGACAGGGTCATAGTACGTCCCTTGCTTACAGTAGCATTCATAACCAGGCTGGGTGTTCAAACAGAAACCATTTTTGCAGATTTCTTGTCCAAAAAGTAAGCATTCATCAGCATCTGTGGGGGAAAGATTGAGAAAATATGAAGAGAAGAAGTTTTGATCTTCCCATTAAGAGAAGGCAAATTAATATAGAGCTTCGAGTTAAACATTGTTTTCATATTCCAAAGAATCTCACAGATACAGCAATATAACACTGTTAAAATCAGTCCTACGTGACAGAAGGAGAAACACAATCAGATGTCGTCTGTCTGTGAAGCAACAGACTCAACATGATCAGGCAAGGTATACTTGTAAATATGATTGTATGGCTTGTAGCTGGCAGTCCCTCCAAACCTCACATACTCACAGGTAGGGCATTTCGGAGCTGGCTGGATCTGGTGTGTGTGGTACTAAATTAGTCCATGATTGGAATTAGCATAGTTTTTGGTGGCACCACTCAAAAAGACTGATAGCCTGGATGGGATAAAAGGGGAAGGCAGGTAGGCTGCTTGTTGCGTTGCCATTTCCTGCCTGCTCTGCCATGGACTCTCTCTCTCCTGTGATGCCCCTCTGCCATGTCCTCCTGCCTTGGAATCAGCCAACTATGGACTGAAACCTCTACGAACTGTGAACTGAATTACTGTATACCTTTCCTCCTTTAACTTCTGGTTGTCAGGTATTTTGTCTCAGAAATAAGTAAGACAATAATCTCCTCCTCCTCTTTCATCACCATCACCACCATCATCATTTTCCTCTTTTCTTTTTGAGATAGGATCTCACTATGTAGTCCAAGCAAGCCCTGAATTTGCTATGTGGCCCAAGCAGGCCTGGAATTCTCAATCCTCCAGCTTTAGCCTCCTGAGTGCAGGAATTACAGGAATGGGCTACCACGCCCAGCTGGAAGGTTTCTCAGATACTACCTCATAATGAATGAAATATCTCCAGGTTCCATAGTGGCACCAAATACCTTCTCTAACAAATACACCCTAAAGAAATGTTCCTTCCTGTAAATATATATCCTGGCTCATTCACTAATTGAGATGTACAAAGATGCCAAGAAGAATTTGAGAGAATTTGATGAAAGACTTTCTTGATGACATACAGAGACCAGTGAAGGCACAACTTGCTATTGGGGTTAGCAGCCCCTCCCCGCCCCCGAGAATTAAGAACATTTGGCCAGCACAATTCACTCTGTGATAAACTGGAGTTTGAAAGGATTAATGAGATAAGCCACATGGAGGACTCACTACATGCTCTGGCCCAAGCATATGCTCAAAAGTTATCTACTGCTCTGGTCAGCATCACTCCTAGCATTGTGAAGCTGAAGCCACCTACTCCTCATTTCAAAAATCAGAGACTCATAGGAGATTGCTCAAATTTACAAGATGGAAAAGAGCAGAGCCATCCACAGAGCTTATGACTGTTGGGACCTAAATCCAGTCCTCCTTCAGCCATGTACAGCACTGTTAAGGTAGAGAGAAGAGGAATTTATTTTATATGAAGAGAATGACTTCATAACGAAACTGGGTGTTTTTCCATAATATGAAATTTAACTACATTCCTGCAAAAATAAAGAATGTGACATTTGTGAATCTGAAAACCATTTAACACATATTACAAAGCAGGTCTTCATGTTATTCAGTTGGACTAAAGCATAGATGTATGCTTAAAAACACAAAATGGAATTATTTATCCTTCTACTCAATTATTCCATATTAGCACTAGTTTTCAAAAAATGCATGGACAAGGAAGGTATTTTTATAGTCTCTTTACCAGCCACATCAGCTCTCAATATTAAACCAAAAGGAAAAAACAATCTCTGTATGGAAAAGGTCATAATATCTCTATCATGATAATGTTAAAAGTGAGTAATGAGGAAATATTCATATATGTGAATATTCACCAAAATCAAGCAGCTGTGCATGGATTTTAGAATTTTACAATAGAAGCATTAACTATATAAAAACAGCTCCTTTTGTCTTCTTTTTCCATTCCTCATTATTCATTATGAATCTGTGACTACCAGTAAAAGCTACTAGAAACACAGTAGTAAGGTAAGTTGTGAAAGAGCAAGAATCTTAGCTTTGCTGACGACCATAAAGACAAACATCATGATAATCATGTCTACGGCAGTCATAGTTTATGAATGCTAATATGTTTCAGGATAACAAAATGACTATTTACTCAGGAGTTTTACACACACCTCACTCAGTCCTCACTGTAACCTTTGAAACATCATTCCTATCTCCGAGAGGAAGAGATGGAAACTCAGGTTAAGTGACCTCTCTTGCCAGGGTCACACCACCCTAAGTGTTTTGATCTAAGCCAAAACTCGAGGCCCCAGAGACCTTCCTTCAGTGGTAGAATGAAGAGCTTTGTAATCAGATTCCATGGCTCAAGAGAACGCTAACTCCATGTAACCCAAGCCAACCTTTTACTCAAGTGTCTGGCATTTGCTACAAATTCATGTTCACATGATTCTGACCTTTATAGTTCTCGCCACCAATGTTGTAAGAGGATTCTCCAGTGGGGACAAAACCTTTTCCTCTAGGACACATTTCCATGAACTCAGCTGATTTTAGGAGAGACAAAACCAAAAGCAAAAAAAAAGAAAGAAATAAGTTGAGAAGAAAAAAATTAACATCTTCCCTGATTGTACATTTTAATTTCAGTTTTGCGTTCCCAGATTCATAACTTTAATGCAATGTCAGGCGGATAAATTCAGCACAACTGCAACAAGCTATGAGTTAGGTAAGCAAAACATCAAACCATGTTATAAGTTTACTTGTAAGTTTTTTAAAAGCCCTCTTAACTCACCCATGTTTTACTTGATATTATAACTTTTTGCAGTACTATAATATCTAATATTTCAAAGGTTTAGTAAGAAAAGCCCATAACACAAAATCTTACCTTAAATAAACAAGCTCTATTTCTGGAGAAGTCCGTGTCATTGTTAGCAAAAAAGATTGATCTTAATTTTCAAATGCAATAAAACTGAATTATTTTTCTGCCAAAATAACACACACAACCTGACTGTCACGGTGCACTCCCAGGCAGACGGAAGTTTAAGAATTCAGGTTGATGTGGGCAAAGAGTGATAATCCCAGCCCTGAATAAAACTCACTAAGGCAGTGTCACCCGAAGTCAGCCGAGGCTATGCATGTCACCACTGCAAGGCCTCTGTGGTAACTAAACACGAGTGTCACTAGGACACCTGGGTGAGTCTTACCGGTCCCCAGCACCGGGCAAGGGAAGATCTCGCAGTTATCTCCCCAGCCGGCACCGGATGTGCAGCAGCATTCCTGTTTGGTGACATTGGGGGCCAACACATTATCACAGAGACTGGCGTCGTTGAGGTTATAGTAGCATTCTTTCTTTTCTTCTTTGGGTTGGTCCACATCCAAAACTAAACAGAACAGAGAAAGTAGAGCGAATGCTGAGTGGATGCCTCCGATGTGCCTGACAGCACCGCAGAGTTGGGAACACACTGGGAAAAAGTGATGGGATAGGTCCAGGCATTTCCTTTAAAACTGTGTCCCACTTTCATTGTCAGATTCTTTCACTTCAAGATAATCGTGAATTTTGGTGGATTTCTAACACACTCCAAGAGTGTAAATCTGTCAAAGCCATTTCCTTTTATGTTAACCAATTACTTTATTCTTGTAAATTTGGCTGTGAGTAGTTTCCGTATCTGTTCTCTTGCCAAACGCAGGGCCTTTCTTTGTGGAAATGTAACACTTACTTAAATAAATGACAATTTTACTCCAGTACTGGGGCCACATGTAACATTTAACCCTTAAGTGCTTACCTGAATCAACCATGCCCCCAATTTTTTCTGAATAGCAAAAAATAGAAGTAGAAAAATACTATAATAATCTTTCATTCCTGAAAACCTAACTACTTAAATTGCTGCAAATATATGACTTTGAATGAAATAATGCAAGCCAGCTAAGCTAAGTGTGGAATTCCAAGTATGGGTTCTGGTCCCAGCCCATGCATGTTTTAGAGGAAAATGGATTCTAACAAGACTCAATCTCCTTGTGAAAAAACACAAAAAAGTTGACATGGAAAAATACAAAAATGATGAGAATAAAACATACTCACTTTCAGATAATACAAATGACTAAACTGAAACAGATTTATTTGTTGTCTCTGAACAGGTCTTTCAGTAATATTTTGTAGCTACCCTTGAAGAGTGGTCTTTCTTTCCTTTCTACCAAATGTTAGAGTCTAAATTACTGCCCATGATCTGATTAAAATTTAAGAGTTTTTATTTTATGCTGTATCAAACAGACTGCCATCACAATTACTGTACTATTTCCAGATTCTTATACCCAAAGAAACTATGGGGACAAAAGGAAAACATTTACCAGGGATGATGAAGGTTAGACTTTAACGTTAACACTAAATTACCTTCTTCTGAAGGTAGATCGTTATATTAGGAAAATTTAATGAATTATTTTCACAATGGCTTTTTATATATTTCGCCTGGCAGTGCCAGCTGACTGTGGAAACTCAAGTTGTAAAGGCCTTTAAAAATAAAAGTTTATGAAATTCAGTTAAAAAAAAAAAAGCTACTGACCTTTCTTACGGCATTAAAAACAGGCAAAGCAGTAAACAGACCTTTTAAATTTGTATTACTCAGAAAACAAGTATCAATGAGAATATCAAAGATCCTTCACATATTTTATTCTAGCCCAGTCTGTCTTTGACAGATTTTGGGCTTGGACTCCCAAGTGAATATAAACAACTGATGACAAATTCAAACTCAGAACAAGTATCTAGGAAAAAAAAAAAGCGCTGATTTCTATGCAGCGATTTATGAAGCATTTAAAATCTTTCTGTGTACAAAATGGGGTAAAATCTGCCACTTTCCTTACCTGATCCAGCTCACTTAATGTGTGCCTGGAACAGATGTTTGGGCTTGGACTCCCAAGTGAATATAAACAACTGATGACAAATTCAAACTCAGAACAAGTATCTAGGAAAAAAAAAAAGCGCTGATTTCTATGCAGCGATTTATGAAGCATTTAAAATCTTTCTGTGTACAAAATGGGGTAAAATCTGCCACTTTCCTTACCTGATCCAGCTCACTTAATGTGTGCCTGGAACAGATGTTTGCCTTGCAAAGTGAATATGAACAACTGATGACAAATTCAAACTCAGAACAAGTATCTAGGAAAAAAAAAGCGCAGATTTCTATGCAGCGATTTATGAAGCGTTTAAAATCTTTCTGTGTACAAAACGGGGTAAAATCTGCCACTTTCCTTACCTGATCCAGCTCACTTAATGTGTGCCTGGAACAGATGTTTGCCTTGCCCACTCCAATGGAAGCCATCCTCACCAGGAGGGCGCCGAACGTTAGGTGTAAAATTATTTGAGCAAACAAGTGATTTAAAATTTGTGGTTCAATCAATCCCACAAAATCCTATAGAAAAATTTCAAACTTCCCCTCAAAATTGTAAATACACCAAGGGCTTCTTACTATTAATTCTCTTCAATTATTTTATTCAGCTGCCATAAAAACGCAGCTAGCTATTAATAAATGTGTTCAGAAATATAAATCAAGAAAGCAACACAGACTTCCACAAGTCAGGTTTACTTTACGGTCTGTTCTAAAAGAAGGATCAATAATTGCTTCCTCATGTACAAAGTTGTAAGTATGCCTGGTATTTATTACAAAATGGAATTCTATGTGGTAGGGGCCTCAGTGAGGACTGCTCTGTTCACAGGTAATCAGAAACCACGGCTTCTTTGTAAATCAAAGTATGGCAAAATTGCATACACACACACTGTTTTGTTTTCCATGATGTTTCTTCTACTCACATCACTGAAATTAAGAAAATTGTCTTTGTTTTTCTGCCTTTTCTTTGGAAGAAAACACCTATTATTTCTTAAGAGAAATAATAATATAATTGTATTATTCAGGTTTTACACTGGTTTTTACAAGTTTTGTTCTTATTTTCTTTCCAAACTGCTTGAACCGTCAATGTTTACACAGCTGAAATGGAGGGTGAGGCAGGCCCTCATCTGTGCTTGGAAAGGGATGCAAATTCTTTTTCAGAAACAAGTCCACAAAGGTCATTCTGGGAAAAACTACAATTTCCCTATCTGCCTAACCATTAAATAATTAATTTCCTTGAGCATTTTTCCATTGGGTTAAAACACTAATCAGTAAATATATGTGATGTAATTTCTCTGAAGAATTTATAAAGGTTTAGATCCCTGCAGCTAGAAGTAGAGAATTTCTATTGAACAATAATTTGAAAAGGTCATATCAATGGTTATAGAAAGTGTTTAGCAAGAAAAAGCATGAATTTTCTTTTTTTAAAAGATTTTATGAATAAGATTACTCATGCCAGACTTCTAAGAAATATATTATTTCCCCTCCATCACTTTCAGATTGGATTTTTCCATTTGTGTAAGAGGCTAGCTTAACATCAGTGTATAAACATCAACTTGAGTATATGAATTGTAGAGTTACAGCAGTGATGTCACAAAAAAAGCGAGTTTTGGAACAGTTTACACGCTTTTTTTTTTTCATAGAGATTTCTTTTTCTTTGTTTTTGGTGCTGCGGATCAAACCCAGGGCCTCATGCAGGCTGGTTAAGCTACATGCTGCCCTCAGTGGTTATTTTCGGAAAGAACTTTATGGAGGCCTTTTTCATGTGACACACAGAGTCACAACATGAGATAGCTGGAGGAGGTAACTTCTCTTTCTGAGGGAGAAAACTAAGAATGGTTCCCCATGTCCTGTGTCCACTGCTTCCCCGAGAACCCTTCTTCGGGGCATCTCATTTTAGCACCTGAAGTAGCATTGAGTTTCTCCCCCTTGAAAAAAATGAGAGAGCAGCAGAAGAGCCTGGCTGGTGTGGAGTCAGCTCCCAGGCCACATCCAGCGAGAAAGAGCAGGTTCTGAGCTGGGAACGGAGAGCAGGGACGCAGAGCTGCAGGTGGCACCGGCCTCTCTAGGAGCTCCTTCCCCGCTGGTGCTGGCTGGGCTGACTGAAGAGGGTGAGGTGTTCACCCCCAGGACCCTTGGCTGTTTTACTCTGCCCCACGTAATGCTGTTTCATAGACTGCTGTTAGGGTGAGAACATTCACAGCTTTTTTGGTGAAATGTGCCTTCATCTTCAGGCCCCACCTGCATGCAGTGTGTTCTGAAGATCTGAGCTAATCCTCTCCAGACCCTCGGTCAAGAATGTTACAATCACCAAGAGGTGACATCACAAAGAGGTGACGGGTGTTCATGAAACACCCTCCTACCTCCTGAAGACAGGTCAATCTGTTAAGCTCCTTGAGTGTGGTTATGTTCAGTAAGTTACTTTCAACAGAACTACGCAGGAAACTTTATTCTATTTTAAAAATTTCAACAGAAACTAATGATTCATGTCACTTCATGCCTTTTCAAGAAAGGGAATTCTAGAGTGATAGTTCAGCAGGTTGCAAAAGAGAACTTAGACATTCATGTATATATTATTTGGTTTTCTCATTTAAGAACTTGCACAGTGAAGCAGAAAGGGTGATTTGTTATTTAAAATGGGAATTAGGATAAAGCCACTGGTGAGTTCCAGGAGGCCCTGACAATAGGAAAGGGTTGGATGTGAAGGGAGGTAAATAAAAAGGAAGACCACAGAAAGGTGGAGATTTCAGATGGAAAAGACGAGAAAGTTCAAGGTGAAGGGTACAAGAAAAGCACTAGAGGAAAAACCTTGTAACGAGAGCCTCCCTACTGAGTTTCTGTTCTTGCTAAGCTCAGCTGGGGGAGGGTCAGGCCAGCAAGCTGTCCCCATCTGGGCTGCAGAGTCCACTCTGGACACACAGACCTGAGCCACAACACGGAAGGAAGTGGTGGGATGCCTGGCAGAGGTGACATCCGAATCAAGGTTTTGAAAGATAAGAGGGAAAGGAAGTCAACAAGCAAGGTGTGAGAGGGGTGAGGAGGAGACAGAGAAGTACAACTGTACTAAGCAGAGGTGGGCAGAGCGGGAGAGTAGAGAGGTGGTCCATGCAGGGAGTTAGAAGAGGGTGGAAACCCGAGGAGGAGGCCTGGTCGGGCCTCCCTGGACTGGGGCTCGGGGAGACACCAGGCAAGGTGGCGGCCTCGGCATCTATGACCTGGGCCTGAGCAGAAGGCAGTGTCAGTCTCTGCACGGAGGAGAGCTCAGGGCCTTGTATTAAAAAGCATGTGACAAACACCCATCCGAATGAACACATTTCTTTGGTTTTTGTGAAGGCCTTGGGTTAGAATGGGGAGCGGACACTAGAACGGTGGGTCACTCTAGAGAGTACAAAGGGCCTTGGAGCCCTACCAGTGGACTTGGAGTTTTTGATGAGTGGTTTTGTCTTTGCTGGTGAAGCCTTCACAGAGAAGGGAGCCTGGGGTAGGCACGGGCTGGGAGGTGG